ATGCCCAAGTGGCCGCCTTGCTGGAACATCATCACCATCCTTTAGAAGCCGTCACCGTATCTTTGCCCGTCTGAGCTTTGCGTCCTGTCGGGGGCGGCCCTCCCGACTCGCCCTCGCGCCCCCCCTGGCTGCATCTATATTCGAGCTAGGGTCCGCCCCAGATCGAAGAAGATGGATGCAACCAAATGGCAAGGAGTCAGAAACGCCTCAGTTCCCCCTGTGGATGGGGGGAAGAGGAGGGAATGCGAATGGGGTTGGAGGGCGAGGAGGGGGAGGGCGAGAGAGGGGAGGCGAGGAGGGGTAGGGGGAGGAGAAGAAGGAGAGGGAGGAGCAAGAGAAGGAGAGCTCTCGGCCCACCCCCACAGAAACGGTGGGGAGCGGATGAAAAGAGAAACTTCGGTCCACTCGGCCGCGCGCGGGGCGAGCTGGCCCGACCGCCCCGCTAGCCCTGGGCAACTGGGCTGCGGCGGCGATCGATGGCGTTTCTCGCTCCTCTGGTATCCTCCTCATCTACCTCCTTCCATTCCTCATCCTCCGCTCCTCTTTCTCCTCCGCCTCCTCCTCCTCCCCCTCCTCCTCCCCCTCCTCCTGCGCGCCCTTACACCGTGCTTGCCTGCTGCCTGCCCTAATTGCTGGTGTCCCAGGGGGTCCTTCAGACTTCAAATAGCCATATTTCCTGAACGTCATGCGCTCGAATCTTGCCCTGTGGGTTGTATTCGCAAGGTCTGCGACGACTCCGTTGACCGATTCGTCCCAGTATGTGTTGTAGTACCGCGGGTTTCCTTTCCTACGGATCTGGGCAGCAAGATGTCGAAACATGTGGTGCTTGGGGTACATGTTGACGCCCGCTTGTTCGCAAAGACCCACGTGGAGGTCGGCTAGGTCTTGGAGCTTCTTGCATGTATTCACTGGAATGTGTCTTGGCTCCGAATCCAGGGTATCGCTGAACGTAACCAGAGCTCTGCCAGCAGCAAGTAAAATTTCTTTATGGTTGCCATCGGGGATCTTATCATTATACTTGTCGAGCGTATCTACCATGAAGTATGTGAACCATTTTGATTCCTGCGCCTTCAGTGAAAGTGATGGCGCGGCCTTTGTCCCGATCATCCCAGGCGTTAGGTCCCCTATTCTTGTGATGTCTTTGGTAGGGCGTGCTCTCTTCTGGTCGTCGTACCACTTGTCTAGCTCTACACGAAAGAATTGTAAGCTCAACCGCACTCTGTCGTCTTGCAAAGCTGCATTTACTTTGAGAACGTTACAAGTGATCAGCAACCATAATACGTGCGCACTCCATGCCTGAAAAACCCCGAGGTGCATACAATGTAGCTCGTCGATGCTAAAACTATGTATTCCTGTTCCGATCAAAGGATCCAGGAGCGGGTTCTTGTGGTAAGTACGCTCGTCTTTGGAAGGCCGCCAGAACTTGACAAGTGCTGGGAACTTTGTTATATGATCGAGCATGTTTGCATCTAGCATGCTTGGTGTCGGTTCGAGCCTGTCGCCCTTCAAAAGCGGCGTTTGGTTTGGGAGCGCGAGCGGGACCGTCAAGGAACGTCCCCGATCGGAATGTTTACGTTGAAGCCTGAAACGAACTTTTCGGAGCTGCTCAATGTTTTCGATTACAACATATATTTCATGCTTTGAGCACTCCGCATCGTAGGATTCCTCGGTGTCTTCAGGGTTGGGCCCCATCGGCTGTCGGATATCATGTGTATGGATTTGCTCTGCCGACTGCCTGCACATTAAACAGGGTGCGCGGCCATGGTTGTGCGCAGGGAATCCCATGCCAGTGCTCATCTCTGGCCAGTCTGCCTTGAAGTCCACCACGACTGCTTTGAAACCCAAGGCCTCCCTGGTGAACTGCTTGCTTTTACGCATACCCCCGTGCATGCTGCTTCCCAATGCAACCCGCCTCCTCCTTGCCATGTTCTCATGCCCCCCCCGCATGTGTCCGTCCCGCTGCCCCTCGCCCGTCTTGCCGGACAGCTCATCGAAACTCATTGTGAGTTCATTGGGTGTTCATTGGGGTGGTCATTTGGGGATTGGTCGTTTATACAAGCGCCCCGCGTTCCGTCTCCTCGTCGTCCTCGTCCTCATCAGTGTCCTCCTCCATCCTCCTCCGCCCCGTCCTCACCCCTCCCATTCCCCTCATCCTCGTTCGATCAGCTGTCCGTCTGACCTCCGCCCAGCTGCGATGCAAGACAGCGCTCGTGCCGTTCAGCCGCTCTCGATCTTGCGATGCTCATCTGCGCAACGATGCAATGGCAAGCTCATGTGATGCGCAAGTGCCCCGCCACTACAGAGCGATCGTTTCTATCGTACGTAATTGTCGGGGAAACAGAAAGAGGATCGGGGGGGCGCATGGGGGATAAGGTCGAGGGGGCAGGCTGGAAGGGGTGGGGAGGGCGCGCGGCCAGGGGGATAGGAAGGGGCGGGATAGGTCCTTCCTCCGTCCGCCTCCTCCTCCCCCTCCTCCTCTTCCTCCTCCTCGCCGTCATCACCTGCACCGTCATCCACAATCATCGTCTCATCAGTGGGCGTGTCACATGCGAGAATTCAATAGAAACGACCACTCTGAACCCCGCTTCCCGACCCCGCAAGCCTTCCCCGCCAGGGCAGCTCGCTCTTGATCATTTTCACGCCAAGGTTCTTTATCATGGCGGGTCTCTGGATAAGTACCATCAGCAAGACATTTCAATGACCAGTATATAAATTGATATATTGGGTACACGGAGCACCAATGGCTGCACCCACAGTTGCAGAGATCTGACGTTCTCAGGCACGCAATCATGTGCCTCCTACCCGTCGGAAGTAAATGCACAAACATCCCCAAGAAGCTGTCCTTTTTGTTGAAAGCAACCTTGTCCATGTAAAGGGCGATGGGTAGAATTGTGCGTTTGTCATCGGCTGAGGCCCCCCTGACGAGACCGTGTTCCTCCCACTCCTTAATCCAGGGTTCCGTGGCAAGCTTTGACTGCCACTGCTCCAAAATCTCGGGATGCGCTTCAAGCTCGGCCGCAAGTGCTTCGTGCGGCGGTGTGACGTGGAATGACAACGACGTTATCTCAGGATCATTGCGGTCATGCCCTGGAGCATCCACATTATACAGCCTGGCGTCAAAGCGCTCCAGATTCAATGCTTTATCTATTTTACGCTGGTGGTTGCGACCTTTGGACTCTGGGTTGACCGCATATGGCTTTGCTTCTAGCAGGCCGCCTTTCCAGGCGTAATGGCAGAGGACGCTCATGTGACGAGCATTCATTGGCTTCCCAAGGAGGTACATTTCGATCAGTTCGTTGACGAACGACATCCCAGCTTCTGGGTCGCGAGGCTCATCGGAATCGCACTCGCTATCGGTCTCCTCGTCCCAAGGGCGCGGCGATGGCTCCGCAGGACCTTTCCGTTTGCGGCCTCGGGTCTCTGGATGCCGAGGGGGTGGCGGAGGTACATGGCCAGGCTCCATGAGCGCGGATGGGAATGCGATCGGTCTCGGGCCAAAGATCTCGCTGGACGGCGATGGCAGGCGCTGCTATTCATGTGGGGCGCCAGCGTTAATGCCGCATCTTACCAGGATCGGTGCTTCATACGAGCGATCATGTCATCTGCCATCACACTCATGCATCATTATCTCGTCTCATCCATCTTCATCATACTCATATCCGCCCTCGCTCGTATTCAGCATCCTCATCCTCATCACCACATGATCCCTCCTCATCCCCTCCTCCCTCCTTCTCCCCCAATGCATTCTCGCCTCCGAGCGCGAGCAAAAGGTGGGGGTCGCTAGCTGTTTCTGTCGAGCACAGCGTCGCCGCGCCCATCTCGTTTCCAGGTGCCTCGTGCCAGCCCAATCGGGCTGGAATCAAAAGAACCCGCTGCCGCCCACGATTTAAACTGCCGCCGTGCGCTGAGAGCCCCCATGTTCCTGCTTGCGCGCGGGCTCAACTCCCCCCCTCTCCCATCGCCTTCCGCATTCCCACCTCGGCCCTTCTCAGCAGGAGCGCTCTCGATGCAACGACGGGCTCGCGTTGGCCAGCGGCAGCGGGCGGGGCAAAGAAGGGGTGGCATGCCAGAATCGCTGAGCTATCTTCACCTGTGAGGGCCCATCGCCTCCTCTGAGGCGACCCCAGTTGAATTTCTGAGCTGCGGAGCCCCCGGGGGGCTCATCGGGGGGCGGTCCTGGGGGCTCATCGGGGCTCATCGGGTGACTCATCGGGTCATCGGGGCGCTGACCGGGCGCGATGAGGTGCACTTTAGCTGTGAAAACACAGGGTTTGGTGAGGCTCATCGGGTAGCTCATCGGGGGGGCGCTCATCGGGTGACTCATCGGGTGCTCCCCCTCGGGAAATCGCAAAAATCGATGAGGGAGCCCACGGAAATGGCCCCGCAGGACCTGGCGGGCCTGATGCCCCAAGCGGGAGGAGGTCGGAGGGGAGGAGCGGGAGAAGCACGAGGTGAATGGGCCCGAGGAGGAGGAAAAGGAGGAATAGGAGGGGGAGAAGAGCAGAAGGAGGAGGAGGGCGAGGAGGATGGGGGCTATCCAACCGATCCCTCATTGCTCAGCGCGTTCTGGCCTTGCCCGCAGCTGCTGCTAACCCTGCAGCCTGAACCCGCGCCGCGCTGCCCCCTCGCGCCCTTCCCCACAGAGAGACGCTTAGACCTGAGTAGCGTGCTTCTTCTCCAGCGCGTGGTTCTGCATCACTTTCGTGTGCCAGGACTTCAGATTGGCGATGGGCGTCTTCATCCTGCCCCCAATCTCTCTCTATCTCTCTTCATCTCTCCCTCTCTCCCTGTCTCAGCGGGGCGAGGTAGTGGAGAAGAGGGAGGGCGCGAGCTGGAGGATGAGGAACGGTGCAGCAGGAGGGGGGAGGAGGAGGAGGAGGAGGAGGAGGAGGAGGAGGCCAATCTTTGTTGCGCACGCTACACCACTGCAGCCACGGACCCATTACAGCATGACAACACGCACACACACTCAAACACAGCATGCTGCCCCACAATGCCACCCCTGCGGTCTTCGTCACGATCTGATTGAAGTCCCTGACAATGTCGGCGTCGGCGTAGTCCTTCTTGATCATCTTCATCTCCTCGCTCATCATGCGGTTGAAGAGGTCCGTGCGGCTGTCGGCAACGGCCTTCTCCACGGCACCGAGGTCGTCCATGTTCTTCTTGTGGTCCTTGAGCCACTTCCACTCGGGCATCGCAGCCATGCAGTGCTTGATGGTGTCCACCGACTGCGTGAGCTGCTGGAACTGCGACAGCATCTTCTTGGCGGCCTGCTCAGCCGTCGCCACCTTCTTCTTGGCCTCCTTCGCGGCGGCCTGCTCTGGCGTGATCTCCGCGTGGGAGTCGGCACCGTCAGTGACGGCCCTCCCCCGCCGCCCCCTCTTGGCGTTGGGCTGCTCGGCCCCACCCTCTTCAGGAGCCTCCCTCTTCGTCGCGGCAGCGGCCTGATCCTCGGGGAGCTGGGGGCGGATGGCTGCGCCAGCAGCTGGCGCAGCAGCCGCGGCGCTGGAGGCTGTGTCGGAAGCCGCCGCGGCGGGCTCGGCGCCCTCATCGCCTTTATCCTCGTTCTCGATGTGCTCGGACCAGCTCCTCTCCATCACCTCGCGGCGCTGGAGCGAGACGTAGAAGAACTTCACGCGCTGCGTGAGCGAGCAGTACGTCAGCCACTCGCCGCCCATGGCGATGCACGCCTCGCAGTACCGCCGCGCGGCGATCGCGTTCTCCTCGTCGTGGTGACCGCCCTCCTCCTGGCGGCATCGTCGTCGTCCTCCTCCTCCTCCTCCTCCTCCTCCTCCTCCTCCTCCTCCTCCCCAGTCCTCCCCTCCTCTCCCTCCTACTATTCCTCCTCCTCCTCCCCCTCCTCCTCCTCCCCCTCGGTCCACGACGATGCGGGAGAACGAGAAGTAGGTCCCGACGCTCTCGTCCACCATCTTGTACGCGCGCTTGTGGATGTACTTGCGCTTGAGCTCCGTCAGCTTCCTCTGAGCCCACTCGGTCCTGTAGTCGCGGCGGTCGTCTGCTGCCTTCGCATCCCAGTCCTCAGCGAACTTCGGATCCTGCTTGATCTTCTGCGCCAGCCACCTGCCAAACTGCTGGTAGACGTTGCTCCTCGCCTTGATGCCGTCCTTAATCCCATTCTGCAGCTGCTCGATCTGGGCCAAGATCTCAGCGGGGACGTTCTTTATGTTGCCCTGCGCCTCGGACAGGGTGCGCTTCACCGCGATCTCGTTGAGACTCGACTCCAAGCTCTTCGCGGTCCCTGGCGCGAGGACGAGCTCTGAGTCTCCCCTCGGGAGCGGCGGGAGCCCGCCCACTGCCGCCTTGCCCTCGCGGGGGGGACGGGCGACATCTTCTGCCAAGCTCTCCGCGTCGAGAAGGGATCCGTCCTCCTTTTGTGCCACCGCGTCGAGAAGGTTCAGGATCGCCTGGGCACTGAGCATGTCCTCCTGCTGCCCCTTGAACTGCTGCTCAAGGAGCGTCTTGATGACGGCCCCACCGCAGCGGCTGCTCCATTCGCTCATCTTCATCTGGCACTGCACGCTGGACGCGAGCAGCTTCCTCGCCGCCTCCACCTGGACTCGGATCTTCTCGTCCATGACGTTCGCTGGTGCCGATGTCGGCTTGACTGACTGGGCGCGCGTCGCCGCCGCAGCTGACGGGCCTGGCGGCGCGTCCTCAGCCAACGGGGCTGGCGGCGCGCCCGCGGTAGCCCCATCCTCCTGGACCTGGTGCGGCACAAACTCGCCAGCGTTGATCTCGGGCTGCTGTTGCGGCGGCCTCGCCATGGCCTTAGACCTGGCCCCCAAGCCGAGCATGCCGCGACGCTCCAAGCGTGACTGCAGGGACTGCAACCCTCCGCCCATAGAAGTCCCCGTCATGAGCTCCTCAGCCGCCCCCGTCGCGGAGCGCTCCATGTCCCTGGCCAATTGCACCTCCTCGTCGCCAGCAGGGACCGTGGCCTCGACCTCGTTCTCCGACGCCGACGCTGTCGGGCTCCTCAGCTCTGCGTCAGCGTCCTCGCCGCCCATGCCCACCTGGCCCTCCATGGCCTGGCTGGCGGCGACCTCGCCCACCTCGCCCTCCATGGCCTGGCTGGCGGCGCCCTCGTCCATGGCCTGGCTGGCGGCGACCTCGTCCATGGCCTGGCTGGCAGCGACCTCGTCCACCTCGCCCTCCATGGCCTGGCTGGCGGCGCCCTCGTCCATCTGGGCCTCCTCGGCCTGGCTGGCGGCGACCTCGTCCACCTGGCCCTCCATGGCCTGGCCGTCTGGCCCGTAGCGGCGGCCGTCCTCGTCGACCTCCATGGCCTGAAAGAGGCCGTCCTCGTCCTGGCGGGCGTGGCGGGCCCTCTCCTCGTTCGCGATGGGAACTTGGGCGCAAACGATGCCCTGCAGCCTAATCTCGCCCCCGACAGTCCTGTCCAGCCAGTCCATGCGCTGAGCCCGCAGTTCGCGCTCGATCATCTCAGGCACCGCGCTCGAGTCCTCCGTGGACAGCTCCCGCTCCTGGCGGCGGAGGGCGGGGATGCGGACTAGGGACTGGGACTGAATGCGACCTCAATACAAGCCGTGCACAATGAGGTGTCCAATGAAACCCCAATGAGCTTCCAATGGCCCCAGATGAGCTGCCTAAACCTGGCTCTCAGAGAGTGTCATGGACAGCTGCCTGGAAAAGAAAGGGATCGGGCTGAAAGGTGAGGAGGCTCAAGGTGTACGAGGAGGGAGATGGGGCGAAGGGTAAAGGGAGGCAGGAGAGCGAGGATGGCAAGGCCTTTCTCCCCCCATCCTTTCCTCCTCCCCCGCTCTCTCCCTGCGCTCCTCCCATCCCGATTTGTCGAAGAGATCCTTGTCGCACATCTGGCACTTATTCAGGGCCATCATGTTCGTGTTCCCGCAGAAGATGCAGTCCCAAGTATAGGGGCCATCCTCAGATGGGCGGCAGAGGAGCGAGGGGGCAATAGGAGGGCCAGGGAGGGATCATGGGGAAGGGCGGTCACCACCGAGACTCGGACCGAGGCAGGGTACTACGAATGATGAGGGGGCGAGAGAGCGGTCGAGAAAACTGAAACGAAGGCGGGGGCTCAGAGGGACATTTGCGTTTGCGTAACAGTCCTCTCTCTGGGTGGGAGTATCGCGCCTCTGCGCGGCCATATCGTGCGAGAGGACGGGCAACTCGGGCGCGCGAGTGGGCGCAGGCGCAGGCGCGGTGTCGTCGTCGTCGGTGTCGAGCTCAATGGGCCCCGCCGAGCCGCTCGCGCCAGCCGAGCCGCTCGCGCCAGCCGAGCCGCTCGCGCCAGCCGAGTCGCGGCCCTCGCTCTGCGCGATCAGACGGGCGAGGGCCTCGGGGTTGTCGAATAGGAAGGCGTCGACATAGTCCCCGCTCTGGAACTTCTTGGCACTGCTGGGGCCCTTCAACGGCGACAGAATCTGGTCCTGCTTCCCCAACTTGTGATAAGCCCCAGAGAACGGTTTGAAGTCCTCCTCCCGCAAGCTGCGGCTAGGCCCCGAGAACGGGGCGTACCGATCGCTCGCGTCTTCCATGGCACCGCAGGCGCCGCAACTTGGGGGGTCTGCAGCGCACCCGCGCTGAGTCTCTCAAGTGGTTCCTCGAGCCCGAATTTCGAAGAACACCGAGCGAGGGGGAGATGGGGGACCTCAGCCTCCCCCTTCTCCTGACGGAAGACCTAAGTGGATTGGACGACCCAGTGCACGCCGTGCGCAATGAGGTGTCCAATGAAACCCCAATGAGCTCCCAATCACCCCAGATGAGTTGCCTAAACCTGTCTGGGCTCTCAGAGGGCGCCCCGGACAGCTGGTGGATCTCGCCTTAGCACCGAAAACTTTGTGCAGCTAGAAGGATGGAGGGCATGATGTTTCCACAATGCGGTTCTCGCCCCAACCCTTGGGCGGCCACCGTGCACCCCCTACGGGACCATGTCCGAAACCGTGAGATTGCCTCGCAATTTACTCAGCGGGGAACGCTACCCACACTCACACACACACACACGCACACTCACACACACAGGGGCCCAGGAAAGCGAGGTCCCCTGGGCACAAGGCAGGGGGGAGGCAGGAGGAGGAGGAGGAGGAGGAGGCGGAGGAAGAGGAGGAGGAGGAGCAAGAGCAAGCCTGAGAGGAGAGCGACTGCCTGCCTCCAGCATCTCTGCCTACGAGCGACACCTGACCAGGACCAGGCCAGCACCTAGGGTCTACGAAGGCTCCAGGATCGGGTACCCTCCCAAGAAGAACCAGAGGCACGCCACCCCCAAAGCGAGCACTGCGGGCCTCCAAGGGTACCGAGTGATGCCCGCCCCCTCAGCGAGCCAGGCCGTAAGACCTATCCCTGCAGCGGCGCACGGGTATTCTCCCTGCAGGGTGGCTCGCCAGGGTGGGCCAAGGAGCCCCACCTGGAAGAACGCCTCAGGAGAGGCGCAGCGAGGGAGGAGGATGGGGAGGAGGAGCAAGCATTTAGCAGGAGCGAGCGAGCGGATCCACGGGCGGCGCGGCGGCCCGTGGGGCCAGCGGCAGGCACGTAGCCCGCCACGACGTGGAACGGCTCCAAGAAGGCTCTCAGCGCCACCACAAGGAACGGCTTCCGCACGTGGCGCAGCGAGCCGAAAAGGTAAAAGAAGCCCTGGTGGCAATCCTCGGCGACAAAGGGGCCGAACCACAGGTGATTCAGCAGGACGTCGAGATAATCTGAAATCCGCACGCCAGACCGCAGGGACTATGCCACTCAACCCGCTCGGCAGCAGCATCCTGACCTCAGCAGGAGCGCCCGACGCACGGTGGCTACAGAGGTTGCCGAGTCCCCAGCGGACAAGTCGGGCCTCCCGACACCACGTGCTATGGACCCACCTGCAGGTACCCAGCACGTCTGCCGAGCGTGAGACCTTATACCTGCTCAGTGGTCTGGCAATTGGTAGTCAGACTAAGGGCTCCTAACTTCGTCTTTGCGCTCCGCGAAGCGCGAAGCGCGACTAACTTCTCGCTCTCGCGCCGCCCCCGAAAGGTCTTTTGCTCCTCTGCTGCAGCCCCGACGACGTACAATTACCGTGCCTCTAGCCGAAAAGGCCCGACTCCAGCGGGGGGCGGGTGGGATAGCGAAGGGGGGCTACAGCAGCTGAAGGGTGGGAAAGGGTGGGATGGCGAAGGGTGGGATGGCGAAGGGGGGCGGGTGGGATGGCGAAGGGTGGGAAAGGAGTGAGGACCGTGAAGCGCGAAGCGCGAATAACTTCCCGACCTCGTGGGCGCCCTGTCGTGGCCACCTCAAGCAGACGTGGCCCGTGCGGCCTCCGCGAGGATGTCGCGCTCGCTGTAAAGGCCATCCTTCTTGATCAAGCCTGCCACGACGACGACAACGGCGGATGCGACGACGGCGACGACGACGACGCGGGGACGAGGGGGCGAGGGGGCGACGACGACGACGACGACGACGACGACGACGACGACGACGACGACGACGGCGACGACGACGACGTGGGGGGGCCCTCCAACGATCTCGCCCGCCCGCCCCGCCTTTGCCGTATCGCTCAGCAATGTTCAGCATAATCTCCTGCGCCTTCTCCGAGGTCAGCTCGTCCCTCACCGCGACCTGGCGCACCTGGCCGCCCGCCTCCTTCAGCACCACGATGTCGGGGCGGTCCTGCGCGATCGGAGCGCGGCCGCGGGAGCGGCGAGCGCGATTGGGGGAAGGGAGGACGCACGCAAGGGGAGGGTGAGAGACGGGATCACGGGAATGGGGAGGGGCAGGCCGACCAATCTGGCGCGCGTGCGTCGGGCGACGGAGACGGCGACGAGAGATGACGTTTCCAATGAAACCCGAACGAACTGCCAACGACCTCAAATGAACCAGAGAGCGGCCCGCGGGCTGCGGCGAATCGGTCCTTCTGCTTGAGCGGCACCACAGTGATGGTCTTCCCGTCGGGCCCGAACCCCGTCCATATGGCCTTGCCCTTCGTGGCCGTTGCGATCTCAGCTTTCGCCTGCCCCGCCCTATGCGCGCCTCTCTCGCCTGCTCGCACTCGCGCCCCGTCCCGTCGACCATCCCTCCGATATATCTCGCCTCTCCCCGCCCGCTCCTGCTTGCCCATCCCTGCCTTCCACCCTCCCCCTCGTTCTTAACCCTTCCCTGTATCTCCCTCCCTCCCTCTATCCCCCCTGCGATCCCCACTCTTCTCGATTGATGCGCGGGCAAACCTGCTGCCGCATGCGTCCGCTGCCCCTGTCCCCCCCCCCCCCCAGGCCCCTCCTTCATCAGCTCTGGTAAGTCGCTAGCCTTCAGCTGCTCTATCTTGAAAGTGCCCGTGCTGAACGCGGCCCACATCTCGTCCGAATCTGCCCTAGGTACCCAGGTATCCGAATACTCTGGCGGGCCGAACTTTTTCCTGCCAACTTTTACTCTGAGGCTCGCTTGTTTCCTCTGGTTGTCGAAGCCTACCTTGTGGATGCTTTCGTCCGTTATGACCTCGCCTGCCGTGGGCGTCGGTGTCGGCATCTTCGGTTTCGGCGTGGGCGCGTCTTCGGGGTTCTCCGTCGCTGTCGGTGGTGTCGGCATCTTCGCTTTCGGCGTCTCCGATGGTTTAGGCGCCGCTTTTGGTTTCTCAGTCTCTGGCACATGTGAGCACCCTTCTTTCGTCGGCACCGCTTTTGGTTTCTCGATCTCTGGCACTGGTGGCATCGCTTTTGGTTTCTCGGTCTCTGGCGGCGGCACTGGCGGCATCGAGTAGCGCCTCTCCATGAAGCCAATGGGGATGGCGTTGCTGATGCTTGCTTTGGGCTGGATGGTCGCAGGCGGAGTCGCGGCGGCAACTTTCGATGGGCTCTGTGGTACTCCTGCTTTGACGGCTTTCGGCGACTTCTTCTCGTTAATTGTGATGTGAGTGATGTTTTTCTCCTCCGTGGTGCCCGTGGTGCTGCCCTCATCCGACGCTGCATCAGTGCTCTCAGCTGCTGGCCTCTTCAAAGTCATTCTCACTTTCATTGCAGGCTTTCCAATTGTAACTGGACTCATTGCTGGCTTCTTCGAAACAGGCTCCTCGTCGCTATCGTCATCCCAGGCTGCCGCTGCTGGCCGCTTTCGTGCTGCACTGCCATCATCATCCTCGGGTTCGTCTCCTTCCTCTGCATCGCCAGTTTGCTCGCCTCCCTCTGCCGCCCCGTCCTCGTCCTCTGGCTCGTCTTCCTCCTCGTCCTCGACGGTCGCCAGCAGCTTGTTCACCCACTGGAGCTGCTTTCGTCCTCCCCTACCCATGGCCCCAGCAACGCCCCCCAGCGCGCGAGGCTCGCCCTACCCCGTAATATTCCGGTCGGTCCCCCGTGTCCCGGGGAGGTTCACGGGGAGCTCATTGGGGTTCATTGGGAGTTCATTGGGGGTTCATTGGGGCGCTCATCGCACATGCCCTCGCACCCTCCTCCCTCCTTTCCTGTTCCTGATGGTTATTTCCCTTCCCTCCCATCCTCCTCCCTCCCATATCCCCCTCCCTTTCCACCTCCTCCTCACCGTC